GGGGCGCCGGGCCAGCGCTGGGCACAGAACCGGCCTCCCGGCTCCCTGCCTGGTTGTGGGCCTGCGGTGACCCTTAGTGGGCGGTCAGTGGGGCGCCCTGCGCTGGGGGTGTGTTCTTGCCCCCCAGGGCCGGTAGGGCGTGGATAGGGGCTGGGGCGCCCGATTCTGTGGCTGTTCCCTGCCCCCCAGGGCCCAAAGGAGGCGGATGGGAGGGCGTGGCTGGGGCGCCCGGCTCTGTGGCTGTTCCCTGCCCCCCGGGGCAGTGGTGTGGAGCTGTGGCGGGGGGCTGCCGCCCATGGGGGGCGCCATCTCACCCCGGTGCCCCTGCCGTGGCAGAGCTGCCGGAGGAGGAGCAGGAGCGGTGGGAGAAATTCGTCTCGGGGCCCCTGGCAGAGACCAACAAGAAAAATGTGGTGGATCTGGTGAGTTCCCCCCCCCCCCCCCCCACACTCCACAGGCCCACCCTGCCCGGTGCTACCCCCACGTCTGTCCAGCTCTCAGCTCCGATGCCAGCCCCCCGGTCAGCCCCACGTGCCCGCTGGCTTCCTGCCCCATGCCGACCACCGTGGAAGCCGCGAGCCCATCCTTGCTCTAGCGTCAGCCCCGTCTTGTAGCAGGGAGTTCCGCCGGCTAACGCCTGAGCATTGTCCCGGGGCTCTGTCACATGTTCTGAGGGACCCACCCGGCCGGTGCTGCCCCCCATGGCTGGGAGGTATCGGGGAGAGGGATGGGACTCACTGCCCCCCCCACCCCCGTACCGTGACCCTAACGAGCCCTGGCACCCCCTACAGGTGAACATGCACAATCTGCACTCGTCCAGCGACGACGAGGAGAACGACCTGAAGGAGTTCAACTTCCCCCAGGAGGCCGTGCTACAGCAGGTGGGTCTGCCCCACCCCCCCCCCAGAGCCAGCTGCATCCCAGTGCCGGGCAAGGGGTCCCCGGATACCCAGCCCCCCTGTGCCCGATGCCCGCCCAGCTTCTGTCTGTCTGTGTCTGTCCATCCTCGCCAGGCCTTCGTGGATTACCAGATGCAGCAGGTGACCTCGGCCTTCATCGACCACTTCGGCTTCAACGACGAGGAATTCGGGGAGCAGGAGGAGAGTGTCAAGTGTGTGTCTGCCCGGAACACCCCCCCCACCCCCGCACCCGCTGCCCCACACTCGCTGATGGGGTGCACTGGGGAACAGGACCACTAGGTGGCACCAGATCCACCTTCTCTGCTGTGGGCCAGGAGCCAGGACTCCTGGGTTCTCGCCCCAGCTGTGCCATGGCTCCTGTCGGTGCCGCGCCTTTTGGGGTGACCCCCCCCCGGCTCATTCACACTAACTGGGGGTTCTGCGCAAACGAACCCCTGTGCTTTCTGGGGGGACGCTGAATGTGTGCGTCTAACCCAGCTTTGCATGCGGTATCCCGTCGGCCCCCCTGCCTCCCCGGGGACCCCCATGTGGCGGGGGGCTGTGTGACGAAGTGGGGGGGAGTCCGGGACAGGCTGACACCCCATAACCCCTCTCCTTGGCTTCCTGCCTCCCCGGAGACCCCGCGTAGAGCAACAGGGTAGCGTCACATCAGACCCACCCCACCACCACCACCGCCGCCATGGGGCCAGGGTGCTGGCAGTAGTGCCCCCTGCCTGTTGAGCAGCCCCCCCCCTCGGTGTGGGGCACCCCAGCCCCCCCGCAAACCCCTCTCGGCTTCATGTCTCTGCTTCTCTTTTTCTCTCCGCTGCCTCCAGCGCCCACTTCCGCCAACTCAAGAGGTAACAACCCCCCCGCACCCCCCTCCCAGACCCCCGGCAGGGGCATGTGACAGCAGCCGGACCCCTCCCCATCCCCGAGAGCAAGGGGGTGGAGAGGAGAACCCCATTTCAACCCCCCCGGCCCTTTCAGGAAATCCCACCATCGGGGACTCAGCTGGGCACGGCTCCAGGCAGCGCAGGGTTAACCGTCCCAGCAGCCCTTGGGGCCCCAACTGCCCTCTGCACCCATGGGCAGTTCCCCCCCCCCCCCCCCCCCGCTCGGGCTGGCACCCCCTTTCCTAGCACATGGGAGGGGAGTGGGGTCTGGTGGTTAGAGCGGGGGCGGGGCTGGGAGCCAGGACTCCTGGGTTCTCTCCCAGCTCTGGGAGGGGAGTGGGGTCTGGTGGTTAGAGAGGGGTCTAGCAGCAGCCCCTCAGCTGCTGGTCTCTTCCCAATGCTTGTGGTGGGGGTGGCCAGCGGCACCCCCCGTTTGATGCGGGCTCGGCCCCCTGTCATGGTGCGTTCTCCGTTCCAGCGCCCCCTTCGACAGGACGGGCAGCCTGAGCTTCTCGCTGAGCGCCGACGACGACAGTGTGAGTACCCCCTCCGCGGCCTCAGCCCTGCCCCCGATGTCCCCCTGGCTCTGCGTCCCAACCCCACTGCCCCCCTCACCACCTTCCCTAGCCCCGCATCACCCCCCGCCCCGCCTCTGCTGTGCCCTCTGCCCTTCTCTTAACGCCTGCGCCACCCTCCCATGGTGCCCCCCATTCCCAGCATCACCTCGCCGAGCGCCAATGACAAGCGCATGAATGTTCCCCCCGTGGCCACCCCCTTGTCCCCCCCGTCGTGCCCCCAGCCGGCACCCTGACTCTGTCCCCTTCCCCCAGCCCAACTCCAACCTGTTTGAAGTCTGCTACAAGGAGCGGATCCAGCAGTTTGATGACGACGACTCGGACGGGGAGGACGCCTGGCAGGAGAAGGAGCTGGGCTACTCGGGGGGCCCCTCGCAGCCCGCAGGGCCCAGGTACTGGCCCCCAGTGACTCCAGGGGGGCAGGCACGGGGCCTCCTGGTCTCGGGGGCAGCCAGGATGCCTGGGTTCTCTCCCTGCCTCTGGGAGGGGAGTGGGGGCTAGTGGTTGGAGCAAGGGGGGCTGGGAGCCAGGACTCCTGGCTTCTCTCCCCAGCTCTGGGATAAATACCAGGTTGGGTGAGCTCATGGATCTGATCAGGGATGGCAGGGAGAGGACGGGATACCAGGGTAGATGGGCCCATGGCTCTTATTCAGGGACAGGGAGTGACGGGATACGGGGTAG